AACAAAATCATCCTTGACTGGGTCTCTATTCTGTTCTTGATCTTCTTCTACTCCATCTTGCAATTGATCATCTTCTGTTTCTGCATCTTGATTTTCTTCATCWTCATCATCATTAGTAGATGTGCCTTGGTCGGTGTGTTTCCACTTCAAATCTCTTTTGGACCATTCCTCGACATGCTCCTTGTTTTTGCATATTCGATACCTTCCAGTTGAACAGTGTTCACAGTAACAAGATAGTTTGCGAACCAAAAGCTTTCCTTTATTTCCATTACTCTTAACTGCATGCAGTTTCTGAGTACCCTTTAATGTTTTTGCCTTTGCTTCTGGCCTGTCTCGCAATACTTCATCTTTATCGACATAGACAAACTGTCTTACAGAATACTCATTCTTACCGGTCAGTTTCAAGTCATGCTCAAGGTTGTCTTTGCAGTAGTTATATAGTGATTTTGCATCACTTATAACAGCTTTTTCAGTAAGAACTGCTCGGGAACAGGCATTTTTCACAACAGCTCCCAGTCCATCACAGACACTCTTGCCATGGCTTGTTTCAAAGAAATTCCTTGTGAATCCTTCTTGATAAGTTGAAATGTCTGCAAAACTTGTTTTGCCCTTGTATTGGCATGCTGAACCATCTGTCCACTGATGTACATTATTCAGTAACGGCATTTCTTTCTTAACAATGTCAATGGCGTGCTTTTCAAAAAGCTTAACACCATGACAATCATGTTTAGTCTCATTGCTGATACCAATAATGGCATTCTTTACTAAGGCATCTTCACCCTGAACTTTTTTCTTGTAATACATCATCACTGGGTGAATTGTAACCTGGGCGGGTTCAAAAAATGCACTTTGCACTTCATGTTGGTAACGGCAGCTGTAGTTTTCACTGTAATCCATCACCATCATTACATCTCCCTGTTTTAGGGCATTCTTACATGCTGACATCTGGACATGCTGCCAGTTTGCACGGAAGAGGTGGTTTGGTAATACCTTCAAGTCGTCGTTGTACATGTCAAGGAAAGTCTTGAGATCTGTTTCTTWTGCAAGGCAGGATGTTACACGCTTTTGTTTACCTTTTTTCACAATAGTTATATACTCCCAACAGTACCAGGAAATCTTCTCATTCTGAACATCTTTGAAGCCRTCTTTGTACTGTGAAATAACTTTATTTGGACCACACTTGTCACACAATCTRTTCAAGCATTTGGATTTTGGGGTGCCACCATTGCTATAACTGCACAAACTTGCATCAGACACTTCCTTTTTACTTTWAAAAAAAGGGATCTGATATGGATCTTGCCTCTGGGTTTTCTGGRAAAACTTTTTCAATGYATCCATCTTTAAAGCAACATTACAGCATGTTTTACATAAACAAGATCTTCTGTTTGTTTCGGAGACTCGTTTCACTTGTGGAGGCTTGAGCTTCCGGAAGGATGTAAACCCAATCTTTACATGAGGATTCTCTTGTGTAAAAGTATTATGGGCTTCTTGAAGAGTTAGAGTCATTACATGTTTCTGTATTATGTTGACTTTTCCATCTTTGTCTTTTAACTTGAGTACATCTTTCTTACTTGGAAGCTCTTTGGTAATGTCTCCCCTTAGGTAGAACCTTTCAACATCTTTCTTTACCTCATCAGATATTCTGTCTTTTCTTTTTTTCCGTGCCTTGTTCTCCCAATACCTGTTCTTTGTTGCCAATCTTCTAACTTTCAACTTATCTTTTAGACTTGTTTTAAGACCATATCTTACTTTGATTTTGGAGGCAACATGAAGAACAGCATTATAGGCAGCTTTTTTATGTGTGTTTGATCCACCTTTTGGCTTCAAATGGTGTATTTCCTCTTGTAATGACTGAATAACTTCATCTTCAAGTGGTAAACTTTTCCTACTTCTTGTATATTCAACATTCTGTGAATCTGATTGAGCACCAGCTAGCTTTTCAATTATCCTTTTCTTTCTTCTTGGTGTATTTGGAAGAGCATCACTGGCTCGTTTGACTGCCCGTTTCTCAGCAGATCTTGATGAGAATGGATTTTCTTTTTGTTGAT